CGTGCTTAGGTGGTAAGGACCTAGAGAACTTAAAAACAACAAACAAACAAAACTGAGCTTGGGCCCTGTTACCTGTGAATTTAATTTGATTGCAATGGGTGGGGTCCAGAATTTGACAGTTTTTAAAAGCTCCCCTGGTGATGGTTATACTGCCTCCCAAGTGGAGAACCCCTGCAGCTTTGGGGGCTAGCCATGACTCTGGTTATAGATGAGGAGAAAAGGGAGATGACCGAAACAAGACCTGCTGAGGGATGCCTTGTCTAAAAAAAGATCCCCTCTGTAGCGAGAACACGGCATAAGGCTACCAGATTTTTTTCAACTCATCTTAAGTTCTTGTTTTGCATATTGTTTGAATACATTTACATGTTGACTATCAAGAGGCCCTACCTCCAAATATGTAAGATAAAATAAAATAAGTCTAGATCTTGTCACCTAGTGCAATTGTATTCATACACAGTAGCCAGTGCTCAACACAACTCAAGAAGGGAACAGATTTTGGAACAGCCGGAGATGGGGGAAAGAGGACACACCAGGGAGGAGGGACAGTCCAGGGAGGAGGGGGGCTTGGGGAAGCCATGACAGGCTCCTGCCACCTGCCCAGTGACAGTCCCCTTCCGGACCTCAAAGCGAAGAACAGAACCTGCAGCCTGATCCTCTCCACACCTGTCTTCTCTTTATTATTCCAAACAGTTTTGCCATTTTTGATGTCTTTCACATTCAAGCTTCATCATGTATGGGCCTTTAGCCTTCCTGACCTGGCTTGGAGGCCATCCTTTGGGCGTTCCTCCCTGACCTGTCTGGGCATGTCCTGTGTTTTTTGTGCCGACTCCCCACAGCGCTCAGCATAGTGTGGGTCAGGGCCACCACATACAGTGTTGCAGGGTGTGCCCTTATTAGGTGCCTTCTGAGGGACGTGAGTGGGGGCTGAGTTTCAGCTCATCTCCACGCACCAAAGCATGCTACGTCAGGAGCAGGATGCACCTTTTTGCCTTGCGACCTGCTGGAAGGCATGAGGGGGCACCTTTTTCTGATTTGCCCAGTGTAGTAGTGGAGGGCTGGTGCAGGTCACTCAGTGGATGCTTACTAAGTGCTCAGTGAATGAATGAATGAATGAATGAATGAACAAGTGTAATAACAAAGTGGAGGCAGTGAAGACAAATAACTGGGATGTGAAGGAGGGATAAGTATAGGAGAAGCAGCAACAGGCCATGGGTTGGATTAAAGGTTCCATGATGGCAGATGTGAGAGGGAATAAAAATGACCTCCTACCTATAATGACGACTAAACCTTGACTGTTGCATAAGAAGAATAAGGATGGTGCAGACCAGTCCTGCACACCCACTTCTGGAGGGCTGGCTTTGGTTAGGTAACAGGTGATAGGATTATATACCTGTCTTGTGTGAGGTCCTGTGCTGAGCAGTGCTGGGGAGATGTAAGGCCGCCCCTTCCTCAGAGAGCTTATGATCTACTTGAGAGTCCTGGACACAAGATTCCTGATGCAGGGCTATGCTGACGCACATCACACATGAGTGACAGGTGTCAGAGAATCATAGCAGCTCTGTGTGCGTGCTGCTTGACTGCTGTGGCGAGCTCTCCTCTGTCTGAGGCAGCTGTTATGTTGCTTCTCACTGAAGAGGAAATTGACACTTAGAGTGCTGCTTAGGTGACACTTAGGTGGCTTGCTTCTCATCCCAGCTTCTGACTGCCAATCACAATATTGGGTTGAATCACATAAAGTTACATTTTTTGCAGGTCAAAAATCGCCAGATATCAGCCATTTCATATAGTCCATCCTAACACTTTCCACTATAATATGTTGCCATTTGAGACCTTTGTGCTGTGTCCTCAGGTGGTGGAAGGGGTAAGGGAGCTTTCTGGGGTCTCTCTGATAAGGGCACTAACCACACTGACAAGGGCCCCATCCTCATGACTTAATCACCTCTCAAAGGCTCCACCTCCAAATGCCATCACATTGGGGATTAGGTTTCAACATATGAATTTTGGGGACACAAACATTCAGTCTATAGCAATTCCCAAAAGGAATTAGGTCAATTTACTTGAAATTACTGGGTCAAAGGGTAGGAACCTTTTTTTTTAAATCTCTCTTTTTTAAGTCTCTTTGTTGGTATCATCGATTGGCTCTCCAGAAAGGCTGTGCCACCTTGATTAACTTTAGCCTGGATAGCAAAGCCAATCCTTTGCTGGTTCTGTTTTGGTTACGAGTGATACATGCTGTAAGAGTTTAAAGATAAGTGAGTTTAAAGATGAAAGGTCAAGAAAAGCTCAGGGATCAGGTGGACCTTGAAGTGAGCTTGAAGGATCCATAAGGTTTAAATAAACTGAGAGGAAAAACTTTTCCATCAGAAACAAAGGTACGTACAGGGGAAACAATGAATATAGCACGTTGTAGAGATGATCATAATCTAATTTTCCTAGGGTGGATAGTTACTTCATGGGAATAGTGGGATACACATTGAGGAAAGGAATACCACCTGAGACTGGACTTAATCTGGTAGGTAATGGGGAGTTGTTCATTGTTTTTGAGCATGTGAAGATTTGAGCAAAAAAAATATTTTCATGATTGTAGAAGACTTTATCTGGGAAACCAGAAACAATCTTTAACAGTGGCAGAAGATTTTTTTTTTAATGGTCATCTGTTTTAGCCAGCCGAGTGGCTCAGTTGGTTAAGAGCTTGCTCAAGAGTGCGAGCTCTGAGCAACAGCGGTTCGAGTCCCAGCTTGAGCCGAGCTGCTGCTCAGCTGCCAAAAGGTGGAAGGATGGCTCAGCTAAAAAAAAAGAAAAGAAATGATCATCTGTTTCAAAAGTTATACATCATATAAATGTCCTAGGAATGATTTGTTCTAGTGATATAACTTGTCAAATGACCCGACAGCCATGTCTGGGTGGCCCAGGCTTTGACATTCAGTGTGGCTTGGAGGCTACAGTGGCTGGATCCAAAATGGTGCTCAGAAGCTATTTCACATGGAAGAAATCTCAGTTTTCATGAAATGAAGGTCAGTTATTACTGGAACAGAGATGGCCAGACATTCAAGTTGTCAGAGAAATGTGGAAAGAAAGGGGGAGGCGAGAGCCGTGGGAAAGACCCTCTTTCTGCTACAGTTACGCTTATCCTCTCTTTGGTTATTACGCACGTGGTTACAGCAAATCCTCATGAGAAGTGGTTCTGCCCTAAGCATTTCCTGGTAAATACAAATTTCATCTCTTTTAATTGCATTTTTGCCATTTTTAAGGCAATGTGTATGTTGCAAATTCTGGTTTATAGTGTGAATGATAAGTGAAATGTGATTAATGCTGTTACATCATTATATTTCCTCCCTTTTTCTAGGTAAATCATATATTTTTAGTGAATGCAAAGTGATGACAGATATTTCAGGCAGTCTTCAATTAGCAGGCCATAATATACTTTAAATCAAATAAAATGCCTTGTAAGACATGTATACGTTTAAAATCCATCTGTAACTCACCATACCTCACATAGCACAATGTTTTTTTTGTGGAAAAAACAAGACTCAGACTCAAATTTTAGAGTTTATGAAGATTGGCTGCAAGAAGGAATGAAGGGCCCACACACAATTGGTAGGCCCCAAAGAAAGTGATGTTTCTTGAGATACATTGTCACAAGGCACATTGGTCATGGCAAAATGTTACAACCATTCAAAATATGTCATGACATTAGCTTGGGATAACTACCGAAAAGAGCTTTCATGAAGACTACAGCTGACATGTTTTTGAAAAGGATGCCGTTGTTTACCCAGAGGAGAGTAAAACAGTGCATTACCAGTTTGCTGGTGCCTTAACCTTTCCTTTCCTGGAGTCTAGCATTTAGCTCCATCTTTTGTCGGCAAGGCTGGCTTCATGGATGTGCAACTGGGCTTGGAAGAATCTAGTGCTTAGATGTTCTTCTATCACCATCCTGAAATTTGTAATAAATTCAAACAAGGGCCTCTCCATTTTGAATTTTACACTGGGCGCTGTAACATACGTAACTGGACCTGATTATGAAAGCTGATTTCACATTTCTTTACCAAATAGTATAGGCTAAAACATGGTTTTCCCAGGATCAAGCTATGGACCAGGTGAGGGGTGGGGCCTAGGGTGAGCCAAAGGAGATCCTGGCTGACTCCTCTTGTTTTCTCAGGAGGCTGGACTGAGGACAATAGGAAATGGAAGGGGAGCACAGAGTTTAGGAGCAGGGAGGGCGACTGACAGCTAGAGTTTCTCCACTAGGGACAGCAGCAGCTGCTGCTGCTGCTACGCCCACCACCACATCCAGGAGCCAATGTCTGCAGGCTGTCGCTAAGTGCTTCATGTTCATTATTTCCTTTAACTTAATCCTCTCAACAACCTGCAAAATGCGTATTGTTTTTATAAACGAAGAATCTGAAGTTTCCAGTGATTAAGATGCCCATAATTACAGAGCTAGTCATGGTCCCGTTCACTGTCCCTTCTACTCAAGAAGTGGCCAACCATCCTTGTCTGTTGGTAACACTGAACTTGAATCACTTATTTGTCTACTGAATAAGACTGTCAGGGAGAGGGCCACAGACTCATGCTGAAGCAGATGGTTTATTTTCTACTTTTTATTTTACTTCCATGTGATTGTAAATTTTATTTTAATTGTAAATATTGTTATGTAGGACCTTTTAGTCATAAATTTCTTTTTCTCCACGGATGATATCTGGACAGTATACTAATACTGGAAATGTTTTTCCAAGAAGAAACAGGGACACCATCCTTCTTTTCTTAGACAAGTGTGTCAATAAACAGTGTTACATATCTTTTAAAATCTCAGCTGAAATGACATTTTGTTCCTTGGTGATTTCTATTACTGTTTTCCTAGTTTTATGTGATTGTGTTCTGCCTCAGTTAAAAAAGATTATCCATGTTTTCTATTTTATGTTTGCATTAAAATCAGCGGTTTTTTACAAAAATTTTAAGTACATTCTATTCTGGACTAACCCCAATTATGTCTCTTTCAGGAACACATCTCTGGCAGCTGTGTCCAGGCTTGGATATTGTTCCTCATCCACTCACAAGTACATTCCCCGGAGGGCAGTGCTCTATGTACCTGGAAATGATGAAAAGAAAATAAAGAAGATTCCGTCCCTGCATGTAGATTGTGCAGTGCTCGACTGTGAGGATGGTGTGGCTATGAACAAAAAGGTAATGGCACGATTGTTTTTCTTACGATGGGAAAAAGAAATGGATCGAAATTTGGTGCTTTCCTAGCAGCAATGCTCAGTACTTGGAAAGACTTTTCTGTTCTCTCTTTTTGCTGATTACTAACATGTGCTTACCCCAGCCCTTGTATGGGTTCCTGATGTGTGTGTCTTTTTTCTCTTGGAGAAAAGAAGAATCCAACCAAAATATATTTAAAATCATTACCTTCAGTATATGATTGTGTGTATATAGAAAAGAGATATAGAAACGATCCATTTTGGCCATGATATTTGCTAGTTTGGGTAAGTGACTTAATCCTAGAATTGTGGTATAAATTTTTCAGACAGTAAGATGCAATGAAGAATTCATTTCTTCTTTTTTACTGCCAGGTATATTGAATAGTGGCCTTATCTTTTCTTGGGCAAGCACCAAGAAAGTAGAGGCGAGTCTTCTATGGATAAATCACCAGTTCCACTACTTATTAAAGGGAAACTATACACAGAACCTTAGGGTGGCAACTTTTGGCTGATTTCTTCATGGCCTGATGAGAGAAACGAGCCGTAGAAAGCAACCAGTTGTAAACAGGAACAAAAATTCTTACTAGGTGGTGGCATCGTGGGTGCTTTTGTTTCATTTTGGTTTGCTTAACTTCATTTTCCAGGTTTTTATAATGAACGTGGATTTTTTTTTCAAGAATTAGGTGAAATATGTAAATAATTATAACATTAACGAATGATTTCACAGGACTTTTTAAGTTAAAAACAAGCTTTCCTTGGACCTTTATCTATCCAGTCCCTAGACACGGAGGTTGGGCTGGGAATGGATTGTAGGGCCGGGGGACAGCGGGAGCCGACTACCTGGATCTATGCCTGTAATATTTGGATAGCTTCTTGTCCTATGTGATCTGAAATAGCATGACTGTACTATACAGCTTTCTTGACCAATGGCTTTTCTTGGAGATTCTAGCAAACAAATATTTGCCTTAATTAAAAAAAATAAATTAATTTCCGCCGTCTTCTTAATCGTCAAACCAAGGTTTTCTAAGTATTTGGAAAAGGATTAGAATAAGCATGTGGAATCTAAAGGGTCTACTCAATGTCTTTGGCATGCACTAAGGAAAATACAATTAATCTCTCTTCCAGAGATTAAGGTAAATTGGCCTTTTCTTGAAGTACATAATGTGATTCCAGTATGCTCCCTTCTAAAACTCATGTAGTGCACTCTAAAATTAGATACAAAATTGTAATTCCAGTTCTACATGACCCAGGGCAATTCACTTTACTTCTTTGCCTCAATTTCTTATCTATACTGTGGGATGACAAAATCTTTTGTCAGGCATAGGGATTATTACCAGGAAAAACGGATAAAATGCCTGGGAGCAGCTTCATTTGCTATAGGAAATAGATTAGATAAATCCTGTAGTGATCATGATTAGAGGGGAATTTATTTTAGCATGTAGCACAGTGAGCCATTAGGTGCACTGATAAACTTTTAATTACATTTCTTCATAAATCTTGAGGCTATCTTCCCATAGCCACCTGAGGGCGTTTCCGGCCACCAAGGTGAATTGGAAATGTAGTCTGTTCTGCCTCACATTTCCTTCCTGTTCACCTGTGTCCTGAAGTTCATCCTTGTACCCAGAGCCACTCGTTAGGAGGAACCTAAGGAAGGGAAGGGGAGAGAGGAGTTTATGATGAGCAAGCTGTGCCCGCCATCTTGGCGTCTATGTCTTCATTGAGATACTCCAGTTCTCTTAATGCATTTAAACTTTGCATTAATTGCTAGATCACTTTTATGCATGCTGATCTTTCAGTCTCAACTAAATTCCCTTTTCTTATCCATAGAAAGTTCTGGCAAGAAAAGCTAGTCCTTGTAAACAAAAATTTTTTCTTTCTTTCTTTTTTTTTTTTTAGATTTTATTGGGGGAATTGGGGGGATGGGAACAGCGCTGGGGAATTGGGGGAAGGGGAACAGACAAGTTGCTGTCGTTTTGTTCTTCAGTCTAGTTGTGGAGGACGTTGCTTCACTGGCCCAAGTTGGCACCATCATTGCGCTCTTCCCGGGCGAGACAGATCGGTTGCTGGCTTCTGGACGGCCGCTCACTGCGGCTGCTGGCGGCTCACGCTGGCTGCTGGCTACACACGGTAGCCCATGGCAACCCACTGCCACAGGGGCTGCAGCCTACGCTGTTGCTGGTGACTCACAGCAGCCCAGCTCCAGGCTGAGCTGTTTTTCAGCATCTTAGCTGTGGAGGGCAGTGTCACTGGCCCTCATATGTGGGATCCGAACCAGGGCCCTCTGGCGTCCCAAGCCAGTTCTTAACCATCGCACCACTCGACCGGCCCCCAAAATTTTTTCTTAAAATCTTTATCTAGGATTTAATTTTATCTCATATATTTCATTTCATAGCCCTAGCCTGTCAAGGTCTTTTTGGATTTTTATTTCATCATCTAACATTTATGTGATCTAAGCATTTGACCAACATACTATATGAAAGTTTCTGATGGAAATATTGAAGAGGTTGGAGCCAAGTGCTGCACAAGCATGCCACTAGAAACTCCTGTTCCACTTAACAAGCATTTATATAGTGCTGACAAAATGCTGGGCACTGTTCTAAGGGCCTTAATCTGCATGACAACCAGATGAGGTACTGTTATGCTTCTACAGATAAGGAAATTGAGGCATGGAGAGGTCAAGTCTATGAATCAATACTGTGAATATGGTTAATCAATCACCTAAACTCTTCTAAAATCCAATCTTTTCACAAGGATGCTATAAGAGATTTTTAGCTAATGCCATTTCAAAATGAAGATACATTCCCTACCTACCTGTCTAGAAATACCTTCTCCCTTAACACCTCCACCTCTCCAGAAAGATGAGATTAGGTAGATGAAACTTTATCTTGAAGAACCCATGTCAGTACCCAGTTGTTACCACCTCCTTTTGGAAGTGCTGGAGACACAAAAATGGCAATAGCTATCATTTACTGAGAGTTTTCTATATAAGAGGTGCTATATTAAATACTTTATATATCTTATTTCATTTAACCTTTGAAATATATCCAAGATCACGTTGCCATTAAATGGCAGAACCAAGATTTGTATGTCAGAATTACGACCAGAAATCAGCCTCAAATTCATCTGTCAGCATATTCCATGAGTAATCTTTTTCCTCTTTTTCCCCTTTCTTGCAAAGTTAGTTCTGGGGCTTCTATTTATCTTTTGTTGCCTTTGTGCACTGTATGGTTTCTCAAAGGTTACTGACAGGAGTTCCATGTTCATACCTGCAAATTATTTCAGTGTCCTGGGATTGTAATCTATTTCAACATACGAACTTCAACTCATTTGAAATGTCCAGATAAATCTGAAACTTCTCACATATCTCATATTCTTTTTTTTCCCCCTTAAAGTCAACTCCTTATCATGTTTGAATATTATTCTTGATGGAGGAGATAGAATAGAGACCATTTTTAATGAGTTTATTTCTCATGAAAAAGAAATCCATATTAAAACTCTCATTTCAGATGATCTAGTTATATATAGTTTACTAAACTGAATTATTATTGCCTAATTCAACTTTCTTGGCATTATTAAAACTTAGTCACTTAAAAAAAACACTTAGTCACTTCATTTTGTATCTCATTTTATTTTATTTTTATTAGTAGATTAACCCAGTATTTCTTTTGATTGACTGTGGAGTATAGGCTTGCAATGAAAACAATAGGAGTTTCCACAAAGCAGTTTATAAGTATATAATACCTTCCAGCAGGATCTAATCCTGTCCTGCTAATTCAATTTGTGTTTAAGTAGCTCCTTCTTGTCAAGGAATGCAATACCAGCTCACCTTCCCAAGCATGGATGATGAAAAGACCATCTCCACTCCACTCTTATCTTCCCCTTTTTGTTGTTAAATACCTGAGGAGATAGATGAAGGACTCTCTAAGCCCCTGCTTGCTGGGACACAGTGAAAATAAGCCAAGTAACCATATTTCTGGTGAATCTCCATGACACTTGGTGAGGCCAAGAACGTAGGAATGGAGTAAGTAAGAGTCAGGATTCTAGAGCTACTATTTTAGTTAGGTGAATATGTAAATAAATATTTGGATTCATTTAATATTTAAGTTTAAATATGTAAATTTAAAGACTCCATATTTAAATAAGTATTGAGTACCTACTCAACCAGGTACCATCGCAAGCAGGAAGGGAACAAAGATGGTTGCATAGTCCCTAACCTGGAGGAGTCAAAGTCTGGTGTTGAGACAGGAAACAAAGTAAATAATTATAATCTAAAAGGACAGGTCTAGGGCTGGCTGAGTGGCGCGTTGGTTAGGAGTTGGCTTGGGATGCCAGAGGGCCCCGGTTCAGATCCCACATATGAGGGCCAGTGACACTGCCCTCTACAGCTAAGATGCTGAACAACAGCTCAACCTGGGGCTGGGCTGCCGTGAGTCGCCGGCTTCTGTGTAGGCTGCAGCCCCTGTGGCAGTGGGCTACCATAAGCTACCGTGAGTGGCTGGCAGCCAGCGTGAGCGCCCCCGTCCAGAAGGCAGTGACTGATCTGCCTCACCCGGGAAGAGCGCAATGATGGTGCCAACTTGGACCAGTAAAGCAACGTCCTCCACAACTAGATTAAAGAACAAAAGGACAGCAACTTTTCTGTTCCACTTCCCCCAACTACCCAGCGCTGTTCCCATCCCCTAATTCTCCAATTAAAAAAATAAAAAATAATAAAAGGACAGGTCTATTAGAATGCATACTTTTTATTATCATTTGGTTCTAAGTATTTTTTAATTTCCATTTTGATCTCTTGCTTGAGCCATGAGAGACATAAGAGTGCTTCCCAAACAAAGTCTATGGTGAAGAACTAGTTTGGTTATTTTTATTTGTTGTTGTTACTTTATTTCAGCTTTAAAACATTTCCAATCTATTGTGGACTGATACTTTTGTAAAATATAAAAAAACAAAAACAAAAAAGAATTGCTAGAAAATGAAATGCTATTTGGG